GCCTGCGCGCCCCCCTCCCTCGCGCTGCCCGTGCTGACCCCGCACCATCCGTTCTCGTTCGGCTAGGACGACGACGACGACGGTGAGGGCGAGGATGAGGGCGAGGAGGACGAAGACGAGGAAGACGAGACCGAGGCAGTGGTGCGTGTTGCGCTCGCGGCCGCCGTCTTCGCGATGGGAGTCTGCATGTTCACGTCGGCACGCGTCACGCAGCCGCACAACCCTGCAGCCCAGCAGGCGAGCCTGACCGCGATGCTCCTTGGCGCACAGGTGAGCACCGTGGTTTGCGTTTCTCCGTCCCTTTCCCGCCCGCGCGTGGGGCGTGCATGTATGCGTGCTCACTGTTGGTGAACATTGCTCTAGGCGCTCCGGGCCGCGAATGGGGACTACGAGGAAGACGACGAGGACGACGGGGAGTACGAGGATGCGCCGGTGGGCATGAGCGCGACGTCGTCCGTCGCGGGCGCGAAGCGGAGCCGGGAGGAGGACGAGGACGTCGAGGCGGGGCTCGCGGGCGAAGACGGTGCGCTCGAGGCGGCGGAGGAGGGCGTCGCGAAGAAGGCGCGGACTACCGCGGCAGAGGACGAGGACGAGGGGGCGGACGAGGTTTGAGATGCACGAGACGGGTCGGAGGGCGGAAGGGAAGGCTTGCTCGGCCTTGAGGACATGTGTGTACTGTTTTATCTCGTTCTGCTGTGCTTCTTATTGTGCTGTGTGCTATCTATCTGACCGTCTAGTCGTGCAAATTCGAGTGCTCCTACGCGGCAAGAAACTCTGGATTGGATGCACCCTCAAGCGGACTCTTCACGTTTCCTGCATGTCCAGCAAAGCTTTCCTCACGCTCACGCCGTCTTGCCAGCGATTCGCCCGTCCGGCCCTCCGCGTCCTCGGGTGATCGCTCCCTAACGACTGCGCCCTCGTTGTACTTCTGCACGGACTCGGCCTCGCTCGGTCGTGGCCGGCTCCATCGCAGAAGACTGGGACAAGCCTTGGATCGACGACGAAGATACTCCCGACTCCCGACATGTGGGAACGCGCTGCCACCCAGGCTGGTTTTATGCGAGTATCCGTGACCCACTCTCAACGTGGGACAGGTGCCGGCATCTTTGGTGCAGGCGAATGCGCATCTTCAGTCCTTGCAAGACCGACAGAGGCGCCGCATCCCAACTGGGCACAATATTCCAGACGTACGCTCGCGAGTCCCATCTATCCAACATCCATCTGGCCCGAGATTCAAGCACCGTTTCAAACGCAAGCGAGTCGCTCCTCCCCTTTCCTCGCCGAACCACACTGGTCCCAACCAGCGGGTCCCACGAACACTCCCAAGACAGTGCACTGCATTCTCCAACCGTCTACCGGGCGGAGGTTGAATGCGGATGTGGCTCGCACTCGTACTCAGACCGCAGGGTCGCGTGGACCGCGCTCGAACGCCTCTCTTGCGCCATGTTCCACTGCCCCGACCCGGACGACTTCTTCAAGTCCGCGCCGTACCTGCCTCGAGTGCAACTTGCAACTGAGAGATGGCGCAAGAGGTGTCGGCGTAGGTGCCTAGTGATCGATAACGACTCGAAGAGGTTGCAGTCACCATTTCATTTAGGAGACACCTAGGTTTATTTAAAGCAGAATGTATGCAGGCGTGCGCATTTCAGACTTCAAGGCTACATTCATGTTAACGTACAGAGTACACAGGTAGTATATTGCATGCATACGAGGATTCGAGTGGGGGCACATACACGCTATGGATTGCGGCGTTTAGCAATTCATGGCGGAAGCGCTTTGTTCACTGGGCGATTACGGCGCAAGTCAGAACCCATGCGTACTTCGTCCTCTGAAGTGAAGTACTCACGTGTCCCTCTCCGGGCAAGGCGGCAAGTTCCTTCCTGTGCGCGATGTTCGCCTGGAGACGGCGTTCCAACTCCGCGTGCGCCAGTGCCATCAACGGGTCTTTCCTCTCTTTCAGGTCGCGAAAATCCCCCCACATGGCCGTGTCCACCGCGTCCGAGATATCCTCGACCGTCTTTGCTTGATCCTCAGGGGAGACCCACTCTCCCTCAGGGGAAAGGCACTCCGCTATCTTCGCCCGCGCGGCCGCGAACTCGCCGAGCGCGCCGTCTTCGATCGCCCGGCACGCCTCCGCCTCCGCTCCCTCCAAGACGGCGTCGAACCCCGGCCGCGGATCCGCGCCCGGCTCGGACGCAGCGGGCGTGGATCCCCGGAGCCAGCGCGCATAACCTGCGAGCCACGTACGCCAGTCCGACGCCGGGTACACGACGTCCGCGCTGCCGGCGGGCACGAGCCGCTCCCAGAGCGCGCGCGCGAACCACGCGTGCGCGTGCGTGTCCTCGTAGGCCTCGACGTGCAGCCGGCGCAGCGCGCACGCCGCGACGACGAGACGGACGAGCGTCAGGGGCGCGCGGCTCGAGCGCAGGACCATCCGGCGGCGCCCCGTCACAGGGTCCAGGAACGGCCCGTAGACGTTGACCGCGTCGTGCACTGGGAGCCACATGGCCCGGTTCGCGTCGCTCGAGCAGCCGCATTTGTCGTACTGCTCGACGGGGATGGAGCCCTTCCAGCAGCGCTGGAACTTGATGAGCCCGAGGGGACGCGGAGGGGCCGGTTCGGAGGGAGGGGGTGCGTCGGTTGGATAGGAGGGGGTTCTGGCGTGGGGAAGAGCGACGTGAGCGATGATGTACTCGCGAGGGTGTCCGTCGTTTGGGTCCAGGATGTGGTCCAGCTGGGTGACGATGCAGGAGTAAAGTGGTTCAGGGGACCGGACGTCGTCTACCGAGATAGTGCGGTCGATGAGATTGTTCATGAGCACATGGAGCCGCCAGAAGTGCATTGCATTGTCCTTGCATCCGGAAATCCATGTAGGCAAGGAGGGAATACCGCTGAGCTTCAAGCGCAGAGTATCGAAGAGTGTCATCTGAGGGAAGACAATGAAGGGTAGACGCAAGTTCTGAGCGAGGGGCGGGCCATATCTGGTCAAGCCCCGACGGCGTCTATGTATGACGTGGTTTGGCCGTGGCTTGCATATATACTGTCCGTTGATAATGACCTCCCCAACGGGCTCTACACAATTTCACCCGCAGAGCGAGCTACCAGTCACGATCAGGGAAATATATACCTCTGTCCCTGAAGACAGCTGCCATTAATTTGAGACCGAGTGAGGCTGAAAATCGTGTCCACGACTTTTTGAACCTTTAGCCTGAGAAGCGGCGACAGGGTCCGACGCCAGGCTGTCCCCGAAGTCGTCGTACGTCGTCAGGTTCCGCAAGCTCTCGGGCAGTGAAAAGATAAGCTATCGCCTGCGGGTCCTCTGCGGGAATGGGAGAGCGCGTTTTCAGTGGCAGAGGAGAGGTCTGCTGTGTGTTCGAAGCCGACAGGTGGAGTTTGGATCTTGCGCCACGCAGGGATGCGGATCTTCAGCGATGTCTTGCGCGCCTTTGAGCTGTGGTGTCGATTAGAGTGTGCGCCTCAGCGAAGGTGAAAAAGCGCACCATGAGAAACTTTTGGGCGCGAAGCATCAATGCATGAACCCCTTCACCGCCTCCTCCGGCGTTCTCAACGCTGTGGTCCCCCTCGGAGCCGTTGACGCCATGCCACGACGAGTATATGACACTACTGTCGGGATCGACATCGGAATGGTCGGTTTCACGGTCAGATCCAACAACGACGATGTCGTCGTCGGAGAGGGTGCGGTGCACGAGAGACCTGTGTAAGCATGAGGAAGGGGAAATAGTGGAGAAAAGCTGTGAAGACCAACATGAGGAGGTGCGTGTGTGCAGGGTGAATTTTCGGGAGATCTTCCATCAAATTCAAGTTTGCGGGCGCGGTTTGGACAAGCCTTGTGCAAGACGCTGTAGTTCCTGTTGAAATACAAGAGCTCGCCGCTGGGAGTGGACTTCGGAATGCCGCAGTGTAGTGACATGCGACCGCATCTTGGGCGGCTTGCTTGCGTGCGGTGACACACCTTCTTCAAGCCGTCACTGGAGGGATCCAGGACGGGCTTGAGGCCTTCGAACTCGAACTGGTGCTGCAGGTTCTGACCAACGACCTCGATCGCTTGGCGTGCGGATCCACCCAGGCTGCTAGAATCGCGCAGGGATTGGTCTTCACGACGTCAGGTGGATCGACGTCGATGTTCAGACACAAGACAAGAGCGGCATGGGCCGTCTTGATCTTCCCCGGAGCCGCACGCCAGGGAATCATCTTCGGTGTACCAGGCGGAGGCGGAGTGGGGTTACCACAGGTAAGATGTCGCTTCGCAGCCCAGTATGGGTGAATGGGGGAGACATCGGGGATGTCTGTCATTGAGCCATTATGCCGAAGGTCGGGGTCGGAGAGGCCGTTCATGCCCCGCACGTCTGTACGTGAAGAGGACGCCTCTGAGCGGGTGGTCGAGCGGTAGTCGCGTTCTGTGTCCGAGTCATCCGAGCCTTTCCATCTTGCCGGAGGCCAGCCGTTGCTGCCTGGAGCACGAGGTTTACAACCGAGGACGAGCAAGCAGGGAGTGGATGGACCTTCTGCATGATGGTTCCCGTACATCGCTGTGGGCTATACCCGCTCAAACAAGAGCCTCCGCGGAATGTCGAGGCGTGAGTTCCGAGCTGTGAGGCGAGGGAGGGAAAGTAGAGGGGATGTGGATGTGTGAGTTATGAGGAGAGCTCGGGTCGGAAGCCGGCTGCCGTGGAATTGAACGCGTTATTAGTCGAGATGATCTTGACCACTTATCCAAAGCTTACCTGCTTACAACCCTGGTAAGTTTGATGATTAGAATTGAATTACGACGCGTCTTCGGCGCTGAAGCGCCTGAGGTAGACTGCATCACAGCGACATCCTCAAAGGCTTGATCACCACCCACCTTCACGCCGCGATCTCCTCACGACCGATCTACACGCTCCTTCCTGACATCTTGCGATCTGACTCTGCTCTGGACGCTGGGTGCTTCGAGCACTCTCTCTCTACCACTCTAGTCTGCGGGATCGTTTCACCCCGCCATGCCTCCCACCGGATCGGATCCTCCTGTTGGTGCGGTCGTTGAGGTTCCCGCCGGTCGAGGGACAGTTCGATTTTGCGGTGCCACCGCGTTTGCTGCCGGGATATGGGTTGGAATCGAGCTTGCAGCTCCCAACGGCAAGAACGACGGCGCCGTTCAAGGCACTAAGTACTTCACCTGCAAGCCCAACTACGGAGTGTTTGTCCGCCCGAGCCAGGTCAAGGTTATCTCGGCCACTCCAGAGCCAGTGGTGAGTGAACTGCTTGTTTATCTGTCATTTGTCTGAACGTCTCCCAAGCCCGCGGTCGCGAGCGTGGTCGGGCACCAACGTACGGACAGCTTGTCCCGTTCTCCCTCCCTACGCTCTGGCGTACCGCAGTCTCCCGCACAAGACTCTGAACCGGAGTCTGAGTCGCTTCTGTCGGAGCCTTCAGTAGCGGCGCTCCACCCAGCATCGAGACCGGTCACACCCATCGTGAGTCTCCGCCCTCGATAAACGAGTATCTCGCTCACATTTTTCAGCGAGTGGTAAATGACATTGAGCTGTAGGAGCTACGGGCCAGGATTCGGGTGCTTGAAGCCAGGCGTGCGGACGACGCTCGACACGTCCGTGACCTGGAGAGCCGACTGTCGGAAGCGGAGTCCTTCGTCGCGCTACGACCGAAGCTTCAGGCGAAGTTGAACCAGCAGCAATCAGGGCTCACGTCGGGTTACGGCAAACGCGGAACATGAACCTCAAGCTACAGTCGTCGGCGTCGAAGAACCAGGCGCAGCATATTGACCTCGAAGTCAAGAAGATCGAGGCGCGGGAGTTCCTCACCATCGTCCAGCCGTATCTCCCTCAGGTCTATGTCGAGTCGTTGTGCAAACGCACAACCTTCCCGAGGCCTTGAACGGTCCTGTTTCGGACGTATTGGCCGGCATCTGCGAGGTGGGTTCTCTTCAGTGTGATGTAATGACAATTGCTGACCTCTCTGGAGACCTGTCTAACATTGGCCGATTTTATGCACCTTCGGCTGGAACTGTAGTTGCAGTGCCACCATCTCTCGGAGGCGCATTTCCCTGTTTTTTTTAACTTGGATCTCGGCGAACGCGAGTTTCGTTGGATCACGGCTTGGAGATATTTGCAGGCGCAGTCGGTCTCGTCAAGATGCTAGCGGCAGCCGCCACCAGAGCCTAATTTTTGGAGGCGGGAGCTTAAGGAGGTGCTCGACGTCCGGATGCTGCTCTCGCCATTGGCTTATTACCACGTCTTCCGTCTTCCTGGTCTCACTATACCCTACACGAATGTCATGTCCGTAGAGCATTTACACACACTTTCTCCACATATTGCGTTCACGACAACTTGCGACTGATGATGGTGTCGGCGTACGTACCCAGTGATCGATGACGACTCGAAGAAGTTGCAGTCGCCATTTCATTCAGGTGACACCTGGATCCATCTGAAGCTACATTCACGTTGACGTACAGAGTACACAGGTAGTAAATCGCAAGCCCGCGAGGCTTTGAGTGCGCGCAGCAAACGTCATAGAGCAGACACGCGCCATGGATCGCGGCGTTTAGCATGGTAGAAGCACTTCGTTCACTGGGCGATTACGACACGAGTCAGAACCCATGCGCACCCCATCCTCTGAAGTGAAGCACTCACTTGTCCTTCCCCGGGAAAGGCGGCAGGCTCCTTCGCGCGCGCGATGTTCGCCTGGAGACGACGTTCTGCTTCCGCTTTCAACTCCAATGCCCTCAATGGGTTTTTCCTCTCGTTCCGGTCGCGAAAGTCCCCCCACACGGCCGCGTCCACCGCATCCGAGACATCCTCGATCGTCCTTGCTTGATCTTCGGGGGAGACCCACTCGCCCTCGTCGGAAAGGCACGCCGCTATCTTCGCCCGCGCGGCCGCGAACTCGCCGAGCGCGCCGTCTTCGATCGCCCGGCACGCTTCCGCCTCCGCCCCCTCCAAAACAACGTCGAACTTCGGCGGGTCGGAAGCCACGAGCGATCCTCCGAACCAGCTTGCGAGCCAGCTGCGCCAGTCCGACGGGTACACGACGTCCGTGCTGTCGGCGGGCACGAGCTGCTCCCAGAGCGCGCGCGCGAACCACGCGTGCGCGTACGTGTCCTCGTAGGTCTCGACGTGCAGCCGGCGCAGGGCGCACGCGGCGGTGACGACGCAGAGGAGGGACAGAGGGGCGCGGCTAGAGCGCAGGACCGTCCGGCGGCGCCCCGTCACAGGGTCCAGGAACGGCCCGTAGACGTTGACCGCGTCGTGCACTGGGAGCCACGCGTGCCGGTCCACGTCGTTCGAGAGGCCGCATTTGTCGTACTGCTCGACGGGGATGTGGCCCTCCCAGCAGCGCTCGAACTTGACGAGCCCGATGGGACGCGGGGGCGCCGGTTCGGAGGGAGGGGGTGCGTCGGGGGTTCTGGCGTGGGGAAGAGCGACGTGGGCGACGATGTACTCGCGGGGGTCTCCGTCGTTTGGGTCCAGGATGTGGTCCAGCTGGGTGACGATGCAGGAGTAGAGTGGCTCAGGGGACCGGACGTCGTCTACTGAGATTGTGCGGTCGATGAGTCTGTTCATGAGTACATGGAGCCGCCAGGCTTGAGTTGGATTGCTCTTGGAGCCGGAAATCAAAACAGGCAAGACGGGGACGGATTTGTTAGCAGATAAGATCCAGTGGAGAGTGCTGAGGAACGTCATGAGAGACCGTAGAGGATGAGAGGAGTCGCCGGCGTAGGTGGTGGGATGTATGGAACGAGAGTCGCCCCTGTGGTGAGCGAGCATGATTGAATCTGTTGAAGAATGGGTAGAAAGGGGCCCGTCGAGAACTCGTATGTGGTTGATTTCGTGCGTTCGCCGCCCGCCGAAAAAGTTCGAAGGCGCGGCCCGTGATACATCTCAGAAATCTTGTGCAAGAAGATAGAAAGTACCAAGCATCGTGAATAGGTCGTCATCGTACAAAAGCAGGCGGAGGATTGGGTCATCGCGTGATCTGGTGTATAGCGCGCGTGACAAGGCATGAGTCGTGACTGAGTTTGGTGTCACGATACTTATCTCCGTCCTCCTGGGCAAGATGCATATGCAAGACATGTGTGCAACTCGCTCCCCACAAGCACTCTTTGCGGACACAATCTCGAGTCTCGACACCAGAGATGATCCATCTGGCTAAACTGCTCTCGCGCTTGCCCTCTCTTGCCGACAATTCATGCATGAATCATCAATGTCGCCTTTTAATCCGGGCCCCGGGAATCGTCGGGAAGCGGGTCTGGGTCACTTGAGGTCTCCGCGAGTCTCTGGCGGAGTACGCTCGTTCTCTTCTTCACAAGTAGCTAAGAGCGAATAGCACAAGTGAGGCCCCGAGGAGCCCCGTGATCGCGTGTGTCATCACGCTGTCAATCACTTCCCCCTCTCCACAAGTGTCTCCCTGGTACCGTTTCGTCCTCAAAGATGCTACACCAAACCCACCTTGCAGCGGTCGACGACGTCCTTGCGGAGATTTTTTCTCATCTAGATCCGGATGATCAAAAGTCCCGCAATATTCTCTTCGCGCTTGCCCTGTCTTGTCGACGATTCACCCATCTTTCCCTCGACGTCCTCTGGCGGAGTCTACCGATTGATTTCCCGCTGGTGGCACTCCTGCATACCCTCGGGATTGCACGGATGCGAATCAACCAAAAAGACCTCTGCGGAAGTTGTACCCCGACGTGCTGCCCTCACGCAGGGTGGACCTACGTGAGTCCTCTCCCGGTCCCAACGTTGTGGGCTAACGCGTCTTTCGTCCAGAGTATAGACCACATCCGAAGTCAATCACAACTGTACAGTAACCCGAACTGGAAAACCTTTCAGATCTATGCACGTCGTGTGCGTAAGATCACCCTCCTTCCGTATACAAGCTACTGCACACCCTCAGTATGGGACCAATTCAAGGAGCTGCTGGAGACCGACGAACCGCTCCTCCCTCGACTTCGTCGAGTCACACTCGATATGCATACGGGATCAATATTTCACGCTTGCGAATCCGGGCAGCTTGTGTTGCTTTCGGAGAGCGTTCGTCGGGTAGGGCTCAGGGGTGCGTACGGTCAGCGCAGAAATGCCGACGTCATCCGTGTCCTCACCACCCGCTGCCCCAACTTGGAGGTGGCCAAGCTCGCGTACCAACGTTTCCTTCCACTTCTCTCAGCCCACACACGTATTAAAACGTTGCTCTTCTCTTACCTTCACTCGGACTACCTCAGCATCGGGACCGTGGCCTCCATGGCCGCTTGGCCTGCACTGCAGTCCTTGTCTTTCGTCATGCGCCACGACGCGTCGCCCGCTCCAGACCCAGACCCCCGTCCTTTCTGCCTCCCAGCGCTACAAGAGCTCACGATCTCGGACACGGACGGCGACGCGGCCCAATTCTTCGCCAGGGCGCAGCTCCCCGCGCTCCACAAGCTCTGGTACGAGCTCATCCTCGTCGCATCCACAACCCGCGGCAGCCCCGAGGTCGGGCTCGCCGCCCTCGCCGCCGCCTACCCGCACCTCGTCGCCCTCACGCTCACCGTGGAGATCTCGCAGAGACGATGGGAGGACGCGCTCGGCGAGCCGAGCCGCACTCTGCGGTGCACACCCCTCCGCTCCCTCCTCGCGCCGCTCGCACCCCTCCGTCGCCTCCGCGCGCTGCACATCGTCGTGCAGGGCTGCGGGTTCGGCTACAGCGCTGCGGAGCTCGAGGCGGGCGTGGCGGCGTGGCCTGCGCTCTCCGAGCTCCGGCTCGCCGTCGAGCCCGAGTCGTGCCTCGAGGACGCGGTCGGCGACGAGTGCGAGGAGGTGGCGGGGCTGGAGGTGCTCGCGTCGGTCGCGCGCGCGTGCCCCGGGCTGCGCGTGCTGCACCTCCCGCGGACCGCGCTCGTCGTGGGTGCGCTGGACGCCGCGCGCGCAGACGTGCTCCCCCACGGCGTCCTGTACGAGCTGCGGCTCGGGGAGGTGGGGGTGCGCGGGGGGCTGGAGGGCGACGATGGCGAGGCGGAGCGGGAGGTGCACGCGTTTGTCCAGGCGGTGTTTCCGGGTGCGGCGCGGCTGGCCATGATTCATCTCGACCGTGGTGGTGGTGGTGGTGGTGGTGGTGGTTCGCCGTAGAATGTGGACGAAGCTGGTATGTCGGTTTGTTCCCGACTCAGTACGTGATTGTCTATCGAGGCCGTCCTGATTGATGATGGTACGAGTGGCTTCAGACAGTATTTAGCAGACCGGGCCGTCTATGTGATGAGGACATGGGCACCTTGGGCGGATGTCGTAGGACTACTAGC